AAGATGTGCTTATAAAGAAGTTTTTTTTCTATATGTTTATAATAGTTGGTTTTAAAATAAATGTGCTTATAAAGAGAGTTTTTATATGATGTGCTTATATAGAGAGTGGCTATAGAGAGGTTTGACTGTACTTGAGACAAAAAAGGGTTGCACTTATTAAATAATTAATCTAATGCCTAACTTCGTGAAACTTCTCGAGCTACATGATTAGCATTACATATACAGTATATAGTATATGTTATACTATATACCGTATACTGTATATATTGTATCTTGACATTTACTAACCCATTAATTTATTAGCCAAACTTTTATTTTATTTTAGAGACTTTTTATTGAATAAAATATGTAATATTTACTATATATATATTGTATACAGTAGTAATATTTAAAAATTAAAAATATTAGGTCACAACTTATTGGTTCTCGTAACATGAAGCTTTTTGGCTTTTTATTTTTTTCTTAATTTTGTATATAACAATTTATAAAATTTTTTTAAAAATTTTTTAAAAACTTACCCGGTTATTAAAACATATAGATTTTGACCTGGCAGGGTTACGAGAACAATTGCTGTAACTCTGCAGGCCTTATATTATAATAATAATAATATTATTGTTCCAGTTAAGAATTTTATGTATCGCTACCCCATTGTCGCATCGCGTGATGTCGGGGTCCCGATATTGGAACCCCGATATCACAAGACGCGACAATTAAATTTTGGGATTTTGACTTTCGGGGTAGCTATGGCAGTAAATTACAAAGCCCTATAGTTAAACTAAATAAAGATGATGGCTTTTCATAAAATCCACTATATCAGTAAATTTTTTAAATTTCTACTCAATAGTTGTAAAGATTATTAAACCAATTTTAATAGTAATAAAATCATTTTGGTAAATTACTAGATATAGTTATTTTTAATTTTACTACGTACCGTATATAAATTTTAATACTAGAAACTTTTGAGATTCCACTCTATATAAAACTAATAGTAATGCTGCACCACATTTGACTTAAAATTTACCCTTTCAACTCCTTAAATATTTTAATATATTTACAAAAGTATAAAATAGGCTAATAATCTTAACAATTTTAAATAATATTTCAAAATTCATTTATCAAAATTGTCAAACTAAATTCGTCAAAATTGACGAATATATTTTTTCGATTCAGCAAGAAATATAAGATGAGATTTGACTTTGTTTTGCGTTTATTTTATTATAAATAAAAATTAGAGCTTTGAATTCTATTAGTTGAGTCTAGATTGTCTGCGCTATAAAGTTCTAAAATGGTATACAAAATCGGGTTTATAGCGTTCCTTCTGTCTAAAATAAATGCGAAGCTTAGAGTAATCTATTATTTAAAAAACCAAGCAAAAAAAAAAAATAGCCCAAACAAAAAAAAATAAAAATAAAGGTTAATCCGGGATTAGTGAAAGCCGTCAAAGAAACTATTTTTTGTGATTTTTATGGGAGCTAAAGTCATATAGATACACTTTACAAAGTCAATTATTATTTTTCCAATATAAAATAATGTTAACAAAACTCGACGATTAGAATAAAACTTAACCCCCACTCTCTCTTTTCTTTCCAATCCTTAACTTTTCTACCATTCTTTTCAGCCCACTTCGTCACAACGCTCAAATACTCATCACTTCTTACAAAACACATCCAACTCATCCTTTCCAATCTTGCTTTACAATTTTTCAAAAAGCATTCTAATCCACGTGGAGTGCACATCCATCCATCGATACCAAAATATTTTAAAGTTTGGGGTATCAAACTCCCTATATCCGGAAAGAAAGTATCACATTGTATATTACAAAGTGAAGTTGTTGACCATTTTTCTGCAATGATTTCCAGAGATTCTAATTGTTTCGAATGAGAAAGTAAAGCCAAAAGCTGAGTCACTTCGGAATGAGTTTGAATCCTCGCTTTGAAATGTTTTAGATTTCTACACCATTCTGAACAAATATTAATAATATTAGGATAGACTTTTAATTCCATATTCAAACATAATTCATTTAATCTACTTCCTGAATTCTCTATAAGCGAGATCAATTCCATGAAAGGAGGATCGAGTTCATCATCTTGAAATAGGTAATTCGAGAAATAAAAAGTTTTAAGTTTTGGGAATATAGTATTAGCTAGAGGTCTCATAATCTCACTAGTTAAATTATAACATTCTTCGATTTTTAAAGTTTCTAAATTTTGACAAGAAACTAAACCTTCGAAAGTTCTAAAATCATCAACAAATTCATAAAAATGACAACTGTGAATCTCAACGTAAATCAGAGTTTCAAATTGAGTTTTTAAAGATTGAAATATTTTTGATAAATTTCCCCACCAATCACCAATTACAAATTTTTCAAGATGATTTTGAACACTAATTAAATCAACTAATGATTCCCCATTTGTTGAATCGTTATCCTCTACTATGATTTCCTGAATATCTTTACAATATTGAGTCATCGATTTAAATACTAATTGTTTTTCGTAATACCCTCTTGAAACAAATGTTTTCAAAGATGATAAACAATCGGAAGCACCAAGGAGACAAGGAAGTGCTATATGATCTGATATTCCACCATCTGAATTGTTTGAACGTAAAGATTTAATGTCTAAAGAAAGTATATCTAATCGATCACAATTTTTCATCAATAGAGAACAGAGTTCCTGAAGTATAAAAATTGATTGCCTTCCACGTTGATTTGTAGGTGAAAGAGTATTCAAACTACTAAAGCACCATTTTCTTATAGCCAAATATAATTCATTGAAATCCAATTCTCTCAGAAATTTTGGATAATCAAATAACGCTGGTAATGCTCCCAGTTGTAAAGATGAAGAATTTGTCGATGACAGTGGAATTTGTAAAATTAATTTTGTGTCATTTGATAAGAATTTGAAATAAATAGGAATGAGTTTTTCCGAAGGACGTAACGCAACCAGATGAAACGGGTTTCTCCACAATTTTGACATCATTGTTTTACACCATATTCGATTAACTAAAATACAAGAATGCATTGTAGTACAATCTGTTTCGTCGACAAAAGATAAAATTTTATCCAACAACTCTGATGGTAGATAGAATGTAATCATTTTGAACGTTTGTCTTTGTGAGTAAAAAAAAAAAATTTAATTTCAATGAATTTCATGCAGGCATTTTTAACGTGTGATCATTTGGTTGTACTACCTTTATCACCTGAAATAGTAGTCCAATTTTTTTCAGGTTATACATGTTGTGATGTAGATTTTCACTTAACGTTTAAGTAGAATCAGAATCGTTTTGAATCTCAAAACAAATTATTGTAAGAATATAAATTTCGATATGTATACAATATTGGGCAAAAATTGTCGAATAACGGTAATTTGGCAAATGAGCACGTGCCGCTTAGCGGCACGTGTAGCCAATCATTTGCCAAATTACCGTATTCGACAATTTGCCCAATATTATGATCATGATTGGTAGGAGTCGCTCGCTGTGTTTTAATTTTGAATACTGGAATAACATGAAAAAAATAACAAAAAGAAATTTTTACATGATCATATGAGTTTGCCGGATAATAAAGAAATATGTAGTTTTATAGCTAACAATATTTAATTATCATTATATTATTTATATTTTTTTCTATATGGGAGGTTTGCTAGAAAAATAAAGTTCAAATCAAAAATGTGATTTTTATTGCCTATACAAGAATTTTAACATGTTATAAATTTTATACCATATTATATAACTTAGTATGAAAATGAATCCAGAGGGCCATTTTCCTAGCAATGCTCCCATATGTTCTTTATTTTTGCATTTAATACTACGAAATGACACTGCTTTCATACATCAAATTAGTGTTATGAATCAGAGCAAAAAATCTAATCAATTAGTTAGTTGAAAATTTTTAAAAAAATCGATTACAAGTTGATTAATCACTAAATCACACCAGTGGTGTTCAACACCACAATTTGCTACTGTATATCTTAAAAGCTAGCTAAGTAATCAATACCGGGTATTTTATGTAAAAATGTTCAACACCCAAAAACATATTAATCTACCGTATTTTCGCGTAATAACGCTCATGAGCGTTATTTAGAATAATGGCCGAATTAAGCTTAATTTTGGCCAAATTTTGAAATTACACCCCTGCGCGTTATTTCGCGAAAATACGGTAAATTTTACCTCTAATACTAACTCAACCTATAACAACATTCTAATCCTAAATCTTACTAGCGAAGCTATTAAAAAATATATGTGGTGTTGAACACCAGTGGTGTGACTTAGTGTT